CCAAGGTTGACTTCCTTTTGTAGTTCTTGTTTCACGTAGCCTGCCGTGTCTTGGTGCGTGGCTGATCGCAAGTTTCGTGCCAGGCGACCCGTGCGGCTTCCCTGGAACTCGAGCTTAAAGCCAGAGCTAAAACCTACCCATAAATAATTTGCATCTCTGTAATTGACCCTAGCATATTGGCGTAACCAGGGTGCCATTTCCTTGAGATCCACGGGAGAAGGGGCCATTGAATTTACCTGCCTTGACGGCTGGTTTTCTGTTAGGAAAAGGCTGATTGGGCTTGTATGGGGTCGGTTGGACCCCATTCCCTCGAAAGCAGGTCCTAGTGCTATGGGAATGTTTGCCACACTTACCGCATTTGTGAGTGTACTTACAGTTGACCCTGCTACAGCCAAATTTTTTGAAATCCCAGCACACCTGACTGGCGATGTCCCCCTGTACGCGTGTCGTTGCGCCCCGTCCGCATGATTCTGGTTGTAGTACCGGCTGTGTTACCATGTACTTCAGCCACAACTCCCCGTCGATGTTGTCCCAGCGTCGTGAGGGGTCCCTTGACATTCTGTGTCGGAATTGTTGGTCGTAGGTTGACCAGGCATCCCCCCCGAATCGAAGTGTCGCCGTTCTTATGGTTTCCATGTAGGACAGCAACCCCTGGGTTGTGTGGACCTCGGAGTGCCTACTAACATATATACACATGAAAATGTGGAAAGCTGAAGTCCAGCTTGCCAGGGGCAGGCGCTTTGGTTGCTGCTTTATTGGTTTAAAAATTACCTTACCTGAGGAGTCGTACGCCATGGTAATCGTACCGTCCTCGTGACTTCCCTCGGTGTTTGGTAGGATTGTGCCGAGGTCGACATACTCGCCACGCCAATATTTTTTCCCTCACCTGTTGTTTGACATGCGCGTCTATTCCGTCCGCACGGAAGGAAAGGGAATCCCCGTATCCTGCGATGTGATTGGCTGGCCAAGCCGCGTCACCGTCGGCCTCGTTGTGAGCATCGGGGATTCTCCCTATGTTGGGCGAAATGGCGGGAGAACTAAAACCAAGCCTTACCTGTTTATTTGCGCTAACCGGGCCGGGCGCTGAATGTTCCAGCAACTGGAGTATTTTTTTCAGTTGCTCGTTTACCTTGGTAGCCGAGTTGGCAGCCTGCGCGGCATTTACAAGCTGCGCCGATTGTACGTTAATTCTGTTGCCACCTTCGATATTTCCGTAACTGGCAGACTCACCATCAGCTGTTGCCTCCTGTACAATGTGTACTCCCAGGGTTTGTCTTCTGGTTGTCCTGGCCTGCTTGGCTCCCCTCACAAGCTTGTGGTTGACGGCTGCTCTTCTCTTGGGACGCATCACGAAAGGTCAAGGTGGTGAGTTGGTATTCCACAAGCGTAAAATTGTCCCGAGGGTGAAGTTCGGGAGTAGAACGGAATAAATGCGATACGGCGAGTGCTGAAATAGATGGTATTCAAAGCGTAATCGGCGAAACGGTCGCGATTGTGTAAATGCGATAAGGCGAGTGTTGGAATAGATGGTATTCGAAGCGTAATCGGCGAAACGGTCGCGACTGGGTACAAAGGAAACGTACAAAGCGAAAGCGATTAGATACGGTGACACAGGTGTGTACTTGGGGAAGGGCTGTTCGCGAATGACGGACTAACAAAGGGCGGGATGATGCTTGCGCGGGATTATTCCCCGGGCACGGTGCCGAGTGGTGACCCGGGGTGATTGAGTTACGAGGGGTGATTGGGTTACAGACGTAATTAGCCCATGGTTTGGATACGCGCGATAAAGTCATTTAGTAGTTAGTACTAAATGTAAATATATTGCACAGAAAAAAAACACTGGTTGTCCTGGTTGATTTAATTCTTGGTCGGCATAAGGGAATTCGAGACACGTGATAATATCACTCTTTCTACCCTATTTATTGAATAGAGCATAGGGTTGTTTGTTTGTGTATTTGTGAAACATGTTTTAGTGGGTGTATGTACTATTTCCATCATTGAAACCAAGTAATGTGGTTCATTACCAGTGGAGAAAGAACAAGGTCAATTCCGAGGCTCACCGACTCCACTACTGGAACGTAAATGTTATTATTGTGTCTTGTATACTACCGAAGATGAATGTCATTTCTTGACATGTCCGTTATATTCGGATATCCGGTGTCACCTATGGAATCAAGCAAATATGGTCAACCCAACATTATACAACTGGACCTCTTTTTATCAGATTATATTGCTGATGCAGTGTGACCAGTTATGTAAAGCTTTGGCCGCTAAGGTAGAGATTGACATTTATGTTTCAAACACCTAGAGATAACTTCAGAATTAATGCGTTTTGCGCTGTGATGTGTCCGCAATTAGCAAGCAATATATATTTATCATATAATGGGTAGGTTTCTCGGCAGGATAAAGCCAACGGATGAAAACGATATCCGTTGGGGACATATGCGGATAGAGATGCAAATATCAAAGGTCAAGTAGGGACTACTTTCACTGTTCATAAACAAACATGGCGTCGCCCTCGTCATTCAGCGATCGAGTCAGAATTTACTATATCAGGAATCTGGATAAACTACAGGGATAATTGCTATCATTATCAAAAGCACAGTCTAATATACTGAAAATCAGTGTCTAACTGTGACGTAGATGTGGCATTTTATAAGTTTTGACAACTTTGGAGATATAAATTTCGAAACAATTTTACGAGGGCACGAGGCCTAGCCAAGCGGGATCAGTAGCCATATCTGTGCTTGTAGATCTCTGCGGCTTGAAACCTTCTCCACAAATTAAAATAGTTGGATTTAGCCGAAATATGTTTGAATTGTTACCTTGTTTCATTTTGTCGCTGTGTGTACATCTGACTACACTTCTTAACGTTATGACAGGACAGACCGACTGTCAACAACGTCTGACCGTGGCCGTGACGTCTCATAGACTAGGGTTAGAGTAGCTTCCCTTTGACAAAGGGCAGTTACTCTAGCGGACAGACCGATGGATTGCCGCGAAAGGCAATTAAAAACAATTGTTGTTTTGCGTTTATGTTGCTTCGCCACTGTATAAGAAATAGATTTCAGTTGGTACTATATTGGCTACTGTCACTGTCCGACTGACACATCACTTACCCTTTGACGTAATAAATATTAATGCGCGCATTCCAGGAAAACTCGCAATGTTTCGGTAATGTTTGCGAGAGAGGGAAAGCGATTTTGAAGTACAAAATTAGAGATTGACATTTTATGATAAAGAGGTTATCACGCTTGTGTCTTTCGGGATGGTAAATATCCTGTATTAGGAATAAACACTATGTATTTAGCTCGCCAAGGCTCGCTAAATACAATGTTTATTCCTAATGCAGGATATTTACCATCCCTAAACACACTCGCGTGATAACCTCTATATATTGAACAAATAACAAAGAACGTCGGACCTAATTTTAACCAAAATTATATTTCATTGTCATGATGATGTAAACTATGATATAGTATCCCATAACATGCACTGCCTTGTGAGTAGACATCAACAGAAATCAGTCACTGAAACATCCGTAGAACGATCTGGCTGACGTTACTGTGGTTCTCCATCATGGCAGTTGGTAGAGCCAGAGGTGGACATAACTTTAACTAAACTAAAGAAATCTGAAACAAAGCAACTAATTATCAATAAGAATATAATCAGCTAAAAAGCTTCTACAATAAAACATACAAATCCATATTTACAGATGTAGCCAAGGAACTTGACACAGTTGCCAGCGCCACTGCCATTGGATCCATGACTATATATAGATCCATATTGCTTGAAAACTGATCCATTTTCACAACAGGAAGCAAATGTCATTCTAAAAGCTCTAAAATACATCAATAACCAATCAAAATAAAGAAGATTCTCTTTCATGCTATTAATAACATGTCATATCAACATCCATTTCTAAAGATGATTATTAGCTTTTAAAATACATTGAATTACCGGTACTTGAAAATGTTGATTTGTTGTGTTGTTACGAGTGTATCCACTCTATATAACAGTTTCTATTCATAACAAGGAGAGACCACACAACAATTAAAAAACAATTTAATACTGGCAGTTTGATCAAGCTTCATATCATTCACAAACAGCAATAACAAGTATCAATCATAATAAAATCAGTGTTACTTTATACTGTAATATTCCATCATTTCCGGACAAGATCCAGTGAATGTTTCATATAATCCATAATTCACCATAGTTCCCACATTGCCGAAATGGCATACACAATTAAAGTTTCAAATCTTGCCGACATGGCATACACAATTAAAGTTTTAAATCTTGCCGACATGGCATGTCAGTTAACACCTAAACCCGACCTGGGAACTGACCACTTTGTCTACACCTCATTGTCATTGTCATTGTCTATGTTCGTGTATTCTCGTACAATACCTCTCTCAACTACCTGACGCCACAAAGCTTGTGAATAGTGAAACAGACAACCCCTCACATAACTATCAGGAAAAAAATCTGCAATGGCACTTATGACTGCTGACTCGTAATCAGTCTGAAACATCTCTGGAGAAAGTTCAGTACCAGTTCTGGTTCCTACTGTGTCCTTCAACAACCTAAATAGTCTAACATATGGATGACCAGATTGTATATGATGCCTTGTCGCACATAACGTCTCCAAAGAGATGATATTGCATTTAGATGATCATTAAAATGTCTCGCAACTTCGCTTTGCGCCATTCCTGTTCGCAGCATAGACATCGATTTTTTTTTTAATAAAAGTGTTTTTCTGACCACCTGGTAGCTAAACACTCATTGTGTGCTCTTCATATTAAAAAAACAAACTTTTGAGTATCCTGGTCATAAACAGGCATTTATCATAGGCAGTTTCTCTTGGTGCCTAGTATAGCTGTTGATGTCATGAGCATTGTCCCATGTAGTTGCTTCTTACGAAAAACAATAGGGTGCTGGGTGCCCAACTCGGTCTTGTTCAAAGAAAGTATGTTTAAACATATATCTTTATCATGCAGGTGACAGTGTCCATGGATGATGCTACACCAAAAGAAGGTTGGGCTACAAATGTCAATGGTACTCATTACATCAGAAGCATGATATATGGAGGGGATCTGGTCGTGAGGATTAGTATCAAAGGCAGTGATGCTCATCAAATGAAAGAAGTTAAAGGTAAATCGCAGGGAGGTTTAGCCACACATGGAATCATTGATGCAAAAGCACAGGCAGCATTTAAAAAACTGGAACAGGACATGAAAAGCAGTTCAGAAATTGACATTGAATATTATTCTACAACTCCAAAAGGTGAAATGCCCAGGGACATTGATGGTATGCTACGAGCACTGGATACTTTCAAGACCGAAGTTCAACAGCCAAATGATAACAAAGGAGTACCATGCAAGTGTGAAATTGTTCCCTTGCACTACCTTGATGCAACTATTCCTGCTCTTTTGAAGTCAGGTGCATATACTTTACAAATTAAGTTTCTTGAAGAAGAGTTGGACGATGTTCAAATTGCCAAAAACAAATTACATTCTTTCTTACATGAAGAAGAAGATGACCTTGAACCTGAACTTGAAACAGATGCACGTCATCTTGAGAAGAGAATTGATGAAGCCCTTCATCTTGAGAAGAGAATTGATGAAGCCCTTGAGCTTTTGATGGGAGCCATATCAGAAATTGATATAACATCTCCACAGCAGACCGCAGATAAAATAAAGGAAGCAAGATCATCCGACAAGATGAAAGGAGCTGGTGGTTTTCACCGAGAAGTCAATAAATTTATAAGAACCTGTGCTTGCCCAAAGGTAGGTTCAATTCCAATGTATTGGATTTCCTTAATCCTCATATTCTGTACTCTATGTACCACAGTGTTCCCTCACAATACCATGGTGTTCCTTTGCAATAATGTATCAAGGCAGCATGTGGAGGAGTTACAGTGTGTTGCCTATAACGCCTCATTCACAAAAAGCCATACATTTGAAAATGCATAAAAAGGAAGACATTATGTGGGCCATCAGCTATATGGCCCTAATATATAGCACTGACAATGTTTCGATTAAAAAACATGACATGCTCTTTCTCAAAATGCATAAACACATACACATGATATACATGTATTCTGAATCATACAATATTCTCTGCTTGTAGTAGGGGGCACGGGTGGCCCAGTCGTCTAAGGTGACGCGATTTGCTGTGCAGAGTTGCGTCCCTTGGGCACGCCAGAAACCTATGATAGTGGGTTTGAATCCTGATTCGCCCCAATTATGTTTCTAGGTTTGTCAGCACCATACCCATGCTCGTGGGTTTCACCGAAGTGGTAACCGTCTGAGACCTGCATCACTGCGGGCTTTCCTCCCACATTAAGCTGACATGCCGTGATATAACTGGAATACTGTTAAAAGCGGCGTTAACCCAACTCACACACTCAGTCACTCTGCTTGTAGTAAAGATTTCTTATGAAAATCAAAAGGGTCTTGGCGCTTATATTTCACATACAATACCCCAGCTTGATTCACTGGTTTTCTCCAGCGAGGAGAGAAAATGGACAATGCAAGCCAAAAATATAAAATGCAAAGTGAGCAAGAGACAAATCATCTATAGAAGATCATAGTCTGTAACATGCCATTGTCATCAGGAAGAGTGGTATCATTGATTGCAAGTTACTGTTCACTTTTACTGATACTGTGTACTAAGACCTGGAAGATTTTGTATCATAATAGTAAGTAAAAGTAACAAGAGTCATCAGAAAAATGACATATCCCCCCGGCAGCTGTCTGTAAAGTAACCACTAGTAAATGTGCAATTCTGTAGGTAATAAGTCAACAGTTGAATGTTCTTTAAGAAGCATACATTGTTTACCCACTGAATGGTTTTCGAATTCTGGCCTGGAAACGAACTCGCTCCCCAATGGAGTCTAGGTCCAACTTCTTTCCATAAAAATTGTAAAAAATAAAAATTTGTAAAAAATATAATATCAAAAGACACCCCTTAAGTATGTGCCTGATAGCTTTGCCAAGTTTCGATCAAATACACTGAATGGTTTTTGAATTCTGCCCCGGAAACGAACCCCATCCCCAATTGAGTCTATGTCCAACTTCATTCCATAAAAATTTAAAAAAATAAAAATGAGAAAAATCCCAAAATATCCAAAGGCACCACTTCAGTATGCGCCTGATAGCTTTGCCAAGTTTCGATCAAATACACTGAATGGTTTTCGAATTCTGCCCCGGAAACGAACCCCATCCCCAATTGAGTCTATGTCCAACTTCATTCCATGAAAATTTAAAAAAATAAAAATGAGAAAAATCCCAAAGTATCAAAAGGCATCACTTCTGTATGTGCCTGATAGATTTGCCAAGTTTCGATCAAATACACTGAATGGTTTTCGAATTCTGCCCCGGAAAAGGAAATGATTACGGACAGACAGACTGGCTGATCACTATATATCCCCCCGCATTATATGCCGGGGGATTACAAATTTAATATTATAATAATAAAAGTGGGTTTGTACGATTCTGACTGTGTCCTGTGCATGTGCTTAAATATGAATCACTATCAGATAGTAATGATACCAGGCGCTCGTGAAAAGGTGAGCGTATTGATTAATGTTGATGTAACAAGAAAGAAGTGAGCAAAGCTCACATATCCCCGTTATCCCCGCTGGTCAACAAAAAATAGTAAATAGTTTGTTAATTAATGAAATATTACATATTTCTAACTGATTTTAACTTCAATGTTTCAAAAACTAAGATTGAGTTCCAGTGACAATTCCCCCCCCCCCCCAATCTCCCATGTTACCAGTGTTCACTACGAGGAAGTAGATCCCGATGAACGCCTTTAAAAAAAAAATTGATTGAGGAGTTACATGAGAAGAATTATCAAAGAACCAAAAATTGTTGATATAAAAACACATTAAAAATGGAACAATATCATATAAGAAAATCAATAAATTAATAATTTTCATCTAGCCTTAACAGATATGGTAAAGAATTCATAAATTCAAACTATCACAAAACACAGATACTTATGATGATCTTCATGTGTGGAAACATTTTTTGAAAATATATTAGCTATACAAAACCAGTCATCAAAATTTCTAAATTCCATCATGCTTCCATGAAAACAGCAAAAGACAAAACTTTCAGAATCTGATAAAAGATAAAAAAAAACAATCATAGCGGTTAATGCAGCAAGTATACTGAAGCTAGGATACATAATATTGTAAACATGGATCGTACAAAAACTCTACCCAAAATTTATGTTTCACCATGATTCCATGGAAACGGCAAAAATAAAAAATTCAGAATCTTAAAACTAGCAAAAAGGCACAGGTACTCATTGTGGTAAATGTGTGTAGCAAGTTTGGTGAAGCTAGGGTGCATGGTTAAAAAGTTATGGGCCGTACAAAACACCCACCCTAAAAGATTTAGTTTCTAATGTTTCCATGGAAACAGCAAAAATAAAAAAATCAGAATCTTCAAACTAGCAAAAGGCACAAGTACTCATTGTGGTCAATGTGTGTAGCAAGTTTGGTGAAGCTAGGGTGCATGGTTAAAAAGTTATGGGCCGTACAAAAGCTCGGACGGAAGGACGGACGAACGGAACGCTATATACTGATGTATTTATGATGTTAAATGTCATGAATGTGAGATTCTTTTTATCATCCAAAATCATTCTTAAATATGTTTTTAGTCTCTAAACAATAATAACCTGAGTGTAAACAGTTCAGCTAACCAGCTTCAGTGGTGTCATGGTAACCATGATGTCACAATTGTCTGCATATGATGCATGGCATTGTGATGTAATTTCTAGGAGATATCAAAACAATACCTAGTTAATAATTCTAAGACTACTATCTCCATTACATCATTGCCATAAATCCTGTATTTTGACTGTAAATACACCATAACTAAAACTTCAGATTTTCAACAGATGTCAACCACAGTAGTAGATTTGTTTGTTTGTATCATGCTGTTTAACACCTCACTCAGCAATATTCCAGCTATATGGTGGTGGTCTGTAAAAAATTGCGTCTGGACCAGACAATCCAGTGATTGACATCATGAGCATCGATCCACGAAATTGGGATACGATGACATGTATCAACAAATTCAGCGAGCCTGAACACCTGATCCCGTTAGTCGCCTCTTACGACAAGCATAGTCTCTCTTTATGGCAAGCATGGGTTGCTGAAGACCTATTCTACCCCGGATCTTCACGGGTCACATGACATGAGTAGTAGTACCCACATAGCTGTGCATATCTAGCATATCTTGCAAGTGCAAGGCAGGTACCTGCTAACTGGATGCAGATCATTTGGGAGGTGTGAGGGAGTACTCCTGATGTAATATAGGTAGTATTCTAAGACTTAATTAAATTAGATTAACTATATTAAATATCATTTCAGTTTTGATCATTCTTGTCATACCTCTATTACATAATTGCCAGAATATACAAGAGGGTTTGGAGGGTTCTATACACCGTTAACAGTAGTTTATGGATACTCGTGAATGGACCTCAGGACTGAACGTCCAGTTATGACATCACTTTCGGTTAATATATCTCTTCCGGACACACTGATATGAATGTCTGTGACTAAACCCATGACTCAGCTATTGGCCCTTTGGCCTGTACTACACTCAGTAGATAACAGTCATCAAATATCAACCAATAGTTTATCATTGTTAATAATTCAAAGAATACTACCTCCATTACATATCTGCCATAAATCCTGTAGTTTGGCTTCAATCACACTAACTAAAATTTTCATATTTTCAAAAGACGTCCTCTTCACTGTCAATTACACAATTAGTTGCCGGCAAGTAGTCTCGTAACTACAATATCACTTTTTTCCCTCATCTAGTACTAGAGGTAGATGAATTGGGGAGGTGGGAGGCAGTAATTCGTATGTGATAGAGGTAGTATTCTTAGAATTATTAACAATGATAAACTACTGTTTCGATAATTCTTACGAAACTTCTACCACTAAACATATATGCCAGAATATAACAGAGGGACCCCGGTGGGATCTGCCTCTCGTAACTCCCTGTGCAACTGACAGCAGTCCTCTTCTGGAAACCATTATGTACTGATTCTAATCCTACTTGAGATAATTTCCTCTGAAATTCCCCTTGAGGACTTGAAAATCAGAACTGTGTCAAGAATCAGTCAAATATGTGATATTTTCTCTAGACTTACCGTCATATTTGCTGTTCTTGATCGTAATAAACCTGGATTTGTGACTTTTAATACCGATGATTATGTCACTTCCGGTTCTGACCTTACTTCCGGTTCTGACGTCACTTCCCTTTTTGGTAATGACGTCTCTCTAGGTCTATTACTACCCCAAAGACGTTATTTCCTGGTTAGAAGGACCCTGTTCTGCTATTTCCAGTGCTGACGTCACGTCCGGTTATTCTATCACTTCCGGTAATTATGTGACTTCCAGTCTAATGGTGATATTTGCTATTTAAGGTTCTTCTCATCCATCCTACACCAAATAGACAGAATAATCAAGAGTGAACTCATAGGAGCTATCAGTATTATTACACAATCCATCTCCTCCACCTTGTGGATGACATTGTCTAGTAGACAGACCATGGTGGGAATGCATAGGTGAATAGATTCAGCCAATCCATCGAAAGAGCGTTGATCTGGTGAGCTCTTGGGTCGGGAACTTGGCTGACATAAACCGGAAGTTGGTTGTTCTGGCAGGTGGCGAATAGATCTATAAGTGGTATATCCCATAACTTGGTTATCAAGGTGACGATCTGTGGATGTAATATCCATTCTGTTGCCACTATTC